CCTGTCTATGCCTCCCCAGTGCTGGGACAGCAGACACAGGCAGCTTTTACACAGGCCCTGGGGTGCAAACTCACATTCTTATGCTTGCACAGCTCAAGCTCTGCTTCATTTTTTTTTTAATTATTTTTATTTTACGGGTATGGTGTTTTGCCTGCATGTATATCTTGTCAGGTCTGTCGAGAATTCGTTTTTCTCTGCAAAGAGAGGGGCCTGTGGATTTGACACTCAGGATGCTTCTGAAGGCAATCAAATCATCTGCAATTGGAAGTCACAGACAGTTGAGCCACCATGTGGATTCTGAGATTCAAATTCTGGTCTCCAGATCCCTGTTGGTTTTTTTTTTTTTTTTTTTTTTTTGGTTTTTCGAGACAGGGTTTCTCTGTGTAGCTTTGCGCCTTTCCTGGAACTCACTTGGTAGCCCAGGCTGGCCTCGAACTCACAGAGATCCGCCTGGCTCTGCCTCCCAAGTGCTGGGATTAAAGGTGTGCGCCACCACCGCCCGGCCCCTGTTGGTTTTTTTGAGACAGGGTATCACTACACAGTCCAGGCTGTCTGGGACTTCTGTATCATCTTGCTTAGCCTTCTGAGTGCTCCCATTGTAGTCAGGTGCCAACATGCTGGCCTTTCCTTCCTTCCTTTAAATATTTTTTTATGTGCATTGGTGTCTGTGTGAGGGGAGGGTGTTGGATCCTCTGGGACTGGAGTTACAGACAAACTGTGAGCTGCCATGTGGGTGCTGGGAATTGAACCAGGGTCCTCTGAAAGGGCGGCCAGTACACTTAACCACTGAGCCAGCTCTCCAGTCCCGATGCTGGCCTTTTCCTGCTGGCCTTTTTTAAAGGACGGATTACAAGAGGAAAGGGGTCCTCTGAAGCCAGGTCAGTGTCTCCTGCCATTCTGTGTCACGGCTTATGCTACTGTCCCGTTATGCCAGGAGGACAAGGATGCCAAGAATTAAAGGGAGCAGGGGTTTGCTGGGAGGCTACGTGTAGGCCTGGGCTGGAGAGAAGTCTAGAATCAGAAGATGTTCTCAGCTCATGCTGTGACTGGTGTAGCAGACAGATTTATTAGAAGAGGCAAAAAAAAAAAAAAAAAAAAAAAGCGGCCTGTGATGATAGCTGGGACCATAAGGAGGCAGAGACACCTCCCCACCCCCAACACAACCCAAATGGAAGATCAGTGGCAAGGAGAGGCGCCCGTCCCAGGAATCAGCTCTTCTGTTCTCTCTAGCCTGCTTTCCAGTCATTAACTGTCCTTGTCGCCGCGCCTCGTTCTTGAAGGACATTTTTCTCAGCTGTCTATTTTGGTGTTTGTTGGGAGGGGGAGGGGGCATTTGGGGTCATTGTCTGCAAATGAGTCCTGGACAGCAGGAGTGTGCTGCTCTGGCTCCTCTGCCTGTCATCTGTCACCCAGCCAGAGCAGCCTGCAGCTAGGCCTGGGACTGCCTAATGAAGACAGAGAGGTGGCTCCGGCTGTGCACAGGTGTCGATTCCCCATTAGTGGAGGTGACATTCCGAAGCACTCCTCATTACAGAGCAGACATTGGACAGGGCTGGGACACATATTAATGGCAGCAGGGCCAGCCAGCGTCTGTCTCAAATCCCACGGCCCCTGAGGAGTGAGCAAGAGACAGAAGCATCCTGAGTGTCAAATCCACGGGCCCCTCTCTCTGCAGAGAAAAAAACGAATTCTCGACAGGCCTGACACTGAGGAGCACGACATTCTTTCTGCTACTTGCGGACCCAAGGGTCCTTAGCTTCAGGCCCGCCCCAGTGCTGACCAGCCCATACAGAATTCATGTAGAAGAGCTTTGCCCTCCAAAGAAGGGCTAATGGGGCCAGTGGTTGTGGGGCATGTCTGGTCCTCGCCTTCAGGCTCCGATACAGAGGCTTTCTTGGAGATGGAAATGGACCCACGTTGTAGCTAGGAGAGTAGGGTTGCAGACAACTTTCAGGTGGAGGGCGGTCGGGGACCAGGGCCGCATGGACAAGATCAGAGGGAGCGAAAACCGGACGGACAGACTTTCCTCTTGTCCTTGCAGGCATGTGTGGTTGGTTCCTTTGGGACAGGAGCGACCTCTCCATCATCTTGGAAATGCAGGAGCTGGGTGTCTGCAGCTTCCAGAGCCAAGACTAAAGTGGCCATAAGAAGAGCTGCTACATGCACGCACACACCCCTCCAAACCCCAGGCGCCACCCTCCTTGGTCCCAGGCTCTGCGCACGCTCATTAGGCCGCCCCCGCACAGCTTGATTTTTAAACTTGTAGCAGACGGAACTCGACTTAAAAATAACTATTTTGACAGTTGGGATGTAAATATGTGAGTGACGCGTGGGGCTGTTTTTCCTTCGTGCTTCCCCCCCATCCTCGGTGCCAATCCTAGCCCCTGCTCCGCGGAGGCTGAGATGACGAGAGCGCCTCCTGCAGGACACTAGGCGCACTGCAGCGGAAGAATTCCCTTTCAATTTACCACACCGCATCACCTTGCGGTTGGAGGCCAATGTGTTTATATACTATGTCTTTGTCTACTACCTGACAAAGGAGGTTGTCTAGTCACTCTTGCTTTTGCTGCTGTTTTGAGATGGATCTTGCTAGTTACCACAAGCTGCCCTTGAATTCACAATCCTCCTGTGTCAGCCTCCCCGGTGCTGGGATTAGGAGACAGCTATCCTCACACCCCCATACCTATTTGTCCTCAGCTCAGTGTGACCTGTATTTATTGAGTCCCTCTACACCGAGCACTGTGCTAGCTGCAGTGGAACAGATATGTAAGCCAAGGAAGTACCCGCGCGTGTTACCTGATGGTCCTCACAAACACTCAAGGGGCTGGCGTTACTGTCTGCCTTCTCCAGGTGAGTAGCAGAGGTGTGGGACATGAAGTGACTTCAGTGGGCTGCCACGACCAGTTGAACACTGAGACGGGACCTGGGGAGCCTCGTCCTCACCAACCTTGTGAAGGGAAGAGCAGCAGTCACACTCTCCAGAGGTAGGGAACGGGATGGACAACATCAAGGTCTGTCTCTCTGAACACCAGTGTTTCATCTAAGATAAAGCCAGGGCCATCAAGGACACTTTGGTGTGCCAACCTGCTGTCTTATTCCCTTTCTTGTTGGGCAATAGAGGATGGGGGGGGGGGGGAGTGTATGATGTCCTAGAGAGTTCCAAACTCTCTCTTTCAAAGAAGACTGAGTGAAAGGAAGGAGGAAGCGGGCCAGAGAGTAAACACGCGTGTGTGAGGGTGTTAGTGGCCCAACCAGGTACGATTCTCAGAGCGTGTTCATGCTCAGAGTCCAACCAGCTGGTCCGTGCCCCCTTCCCTGTATGTGCAGACAGTGTCTTAATGCCCTTGGCTAAGAGTCCACTGATGTTCTCAGGAACTTTACGAGCACCATGTGCGTGCATGTGCCTGAGAGGCCAGAAGAGGGTGCTGGATCCCCTGGAAGTTACAGGCAGTTATGAGCCTGCCTCCTGCGGGGGCTGGGAACTGGACCCAGGTCCTCTGCAAGAGCGCCGAGTGCTTTTGATCACTACACCATCTCCCCGGCCCTGCTCTCGGGTTCTTTCTCTCCTTCCTAGCAAACCCTGTCCCAGAACCTCTGATGCAGTCACTAATGCTGGAATAAATGTCTGTCAGCCATTCAGCATTCACCTCCCTCCTGGAGTCTAACCCCGTGGGGGGTCCCAAAGCTTTGTGTGAAAGCACTAAGGAGAGGCCAAGAGGCAGACATAGGGAGAGGAGAGGAACTTGGGAACAACAGGACCCACCTGTGATGTAAGAGGTCTCCACAGCACCTGATGGCAAGATCCTGCTGGATTTTGCCTGTGCATCTGGCCTCCAAGGCTCAGCTCCATCCATCCCCTTTGAGAGGCCTCTCCCAGCTCTCAAGCACTTTGCTTGAACTCTGCCTAGAGGATCTTGCATCCTTTGAGCCTTGTCCTGTTGCTTTCTGTCATATTGAAGCTTCTAAGGGGTGGGGGCGCTGGCTGACTTCCCGTTCCTCCTGCAGTGGCTCCCACAGCTCTCTGCTCAGGGTCAGGACTCAATACTGACTTAATGAATTCAGTGGACAACAGCATTTCCTCAGGGTAAAAGCTGGGATGCAGATAACGGAGGGGCTCGGGCAGTCATGCAAGAAGACGCCTGAACCAAAAGCACAGGATGTAGGCCTGTCCCTGGCAAGCCTAGGAACACTTTGTGAATACTTTGTGCCAAGCATTAAGGAAACTGAGCTGGGAGAAAAGAGCCACCCTGGCCATGAACAGTCAGTGCACACTGCCGCACAAAAACCGCACATCGCCTGTAATCCCCAGCTATCAGGAGACCCAAGTTAATCAATTCATCTACAGCTGTTCCTTCCTTACAGGAGACGGGCTTTGAGGTTAGGGCTGATGGCTCAGGCTCTCTATCCCTTCTTAGGGCCCCATTTCTTCACAGTAGTAGAATCTCTGCACTGGCCCCTCAATCCAAGTGGACTCACAATGCAATAATTCTTTTTTACAGCTCTATTGACACACAATTCATACCGCCTGGTAACCTTTGTTATGAATGTGCCTCCATCTTTCTTTCCTTGCAAGACTGACAGTCGTGCATCCTGTCAATAGTTCTGAGAAGCCCAAGTAAAGATCTTTAGTTTATATTGAAGTAGCTGTAAGCCGTGAGATCCTAGTGCAAGTCTAAACCACGGCCCCTTTGCCCACGCTTTCCAGCACCAGTCAGTGTGACCCACTAGTTCCCTGAGATGCTAGGAGGCAGGAGGCTGGCTTTCCCTCAGTTTACAGATAGTACAAATAAGGCTCAGCGTACCCGAGCCTCAGGTGTCCCCCAGCGCTCCCCCAGCCCTCATCACCTGTGTATACATCCCTGACTTTGCTACCCAGCTCCGTTCTCCCTCCTCTCAGATCGGCAGAGACACGTTTGACTTCTGCTGCTGTGTATTGTAGTGTGAAGCCAACGCAGATGCCCCACATGCCTCGACAACATAATTCACTCGCTGCAAAGGGACGTAATAAAGTGTGTTTATTACAGCAATTATCGGCGCAGAATCTGCCAGCATGCTTTCCAGTGGCAACCAGAAAAGTGCTTACTCCAGATGCAGAGATGTCGGAAACCGTGCAGCTAGGGCCAAAATGAAACCAACGAGGCTTGGTAAATGGGTCTCAGTCACCCTAGGAAAAAGAACCGTTCAGGAGTCAACTCAACCGAAGCAGAGGTTAACAAGATGTAGATTGCGCAGATTGCGGTCCGTTGGATTAAGATCTGGACCTGTTTCCAGGATCAAGGTATTGGGGTCATACAAAGAATGTACCCCAAAACCCAGGCACCCCACATGCTGAGTTCACATCTCACCGACTGACATAGGAGCATATAGATGGAGACCATTAGCACCAATGATTCTCAGGGATTCCCTGCCACTGTGGTGGAATTCGGGACACAGGAAGACAATCAGAGGCGTTGGAGGAGAGGCAGAACAGGTAAGAAAACCTCTCACTAAATGCTGCCTTCAAGAACATCATTACGCTACAGGGTAAAGATACAGCTCAGCAGGAGAACACTTGTCTAGTGGTCCTGAGGCCTTGGGCTTCGTCCCCAGCACCTTGCAGGGCTATGGAAGAGGAACCTCGATTTCCTGAAGGGAATATGGCTAAATTAGAGGGAGTCTGCTTTCTAGCCTGGGGAGTATACGCTGTCTTGCTTTGGGCAAAATGACTAGACAAATGCATTTGTCCTAGCTCTTTGGTAGAGGGACAGAAGGGAAGTCATTTAAATTCCACAGCAACATCAAGTTATCTGACTGCTGTAACCAGCCAAGCAGAGTTCTTCATATATTGCTTGTGCCAACAGGAGAGTCCTCGGAACACTGGGTGTCCCCAACAGAGGCAGCAGTGTGTGTTTTGGCTCACTGAGGAGACATACGGATGGTGGTCATCCAGGTTGACCATGGTTCTGACCTCCCAGAAAACACAAAACTGGTTATTGAAGCCAGCAAACCAAATAGGTCCCCTTGGTTAAGGGATGACTTAAATGTGCCCCCCCTCCCCTCAACATTCCTTTCCCTCCTCGGGCCTCTTCGAGAAGGTGCTCCGCTGAGGGGTGAGGGCAGAAGGCAGCTGGGCTCTCTGGAACAGAGAAAGTCAGAGCTTTGAGCATCATGAACAACAGGATAAAAATAGCAGCGTTGCCATGGCAAGGGAGGCTGGGAGAGTCCTGAGGATGTGTCTAGGTCCTGCCATCTCCCCCGCTGGCATCCCTCCCGCCCCTCAGATGGAATGCAGGAATGAAGGGAGGGAGGAGAGAGGCCGCCCCAGCAGCGAAGGGGGCTGACCAGAAGCCCACTGGGAAAAGCCGTGGCCTTCAGAGCCTGGGTGCTTCTGCCAGAGCCCAGACTGCCCATGTTACAGGGCCCCTGCTACTGAAATGTCTTCTTTGGTGTAAGGCTGTTCTGAGCAGCTCCTAGTTCACCCTCCCTGTGGATGGTCTGCTTTCCATGTGAGGTTCTAACCCCACAGGAATCTAGAAAAGGGGCCTATGCTGCAACTCCAGCATGGTGAGCACTAACTACTCCAGAGCTGGCCTGGGGGACTAGAGGGTTTGTTCTGACAAGCCAGGCACCTAGTCCTGGATCGTTTAGCGACATGTACTTTGAAGCTTTTAGGAGCAGGTGGTGATGGCTACGATTGTTCTTCCTGTGTGTTGAAGATACAGCAGGGTCATTCCTAGGGAAGACTCTACTTCTTCGTTCTTGGGGGGCTGTCAGGGACAGCAGTAACCTTCAGGATGAGTGAAGAGCAGCAGCTAGGAGACCACTGAATGCAGAGGTCCGGACTCCCTCTCCCGGTGAAGCTGGGAACCAAGGGTCCATCTCCAAGTTTCAGCCATGTCTGGCTACATCCAATACAAGGTGCTCTTCATGTTGGGTAGGGAAGGCAGGTGTGGGACTCATCCGTGGGAGAGAGGAAGCAGTTTCTGTGGTCAGGAGTCAGTGGAGGAACCCCAGGGGAAGCGGGGAAAACTGTTCCCCACACAAAGGGCACCAGTGCCTCCTCTCCTACCCACTGCTGTGCAAATCCGGCCTGAGGGGCGGCGGGCGGGGGGGGGGAGGATGGCTCCATCATCTTAGAGATGGGCCATGGGCAGCGACCCAAAGTGAACTCAAGCAGATGTTAGGCCCTTCTGAATCTCTTCAGTATGTGTGCCGTAGGAGCACAAAGATGGTAACAGTCGTGGCCTACACAGGGCCTGGTGTCCCAGCCCTCACTGGAGGAACATTCTAGAAGAAGCTGTGGCTGGGGCTTTCCCTCACACTTCAACACTTCTTAGATCTGCCTGTGACTCCAACCCGCCCTCTTCACTATGCTGTCCTCAGAACACATCCCCTGGGGCACAGGACACCTGACACCCCACAAAGCCTGAACTCAAGAGTACATCGGTGCAGTCCCTTCTATCCTTGAAGAACCAGTCCCGGAAATAAGGCCTGACTCATCCAAGGTCACAGGATCACTGGTACTCAAGCAAGGCTAGAACCCAGGAGACCGGCTTTTGGCTCAGGGCTCTTTGCATCTCATATATCTTTTTCAGTTAAATTATTGCTTTTTATTTTCATCTAAAAATTAACCATTTCTTTATATATTTCTATGGATCCATATACTACAATTCAAAATGCCTGCCTACCTCCCTTAGGAGTGGAGAATGGAAATAACATTTTAATGAACTATTTTGAACCTAAGACAAGAAGCCCTTGGGGGTCCTGGGCCAGGGTCTTAGAGGGCATTCAAGTTCTAAAAACCTCAACAGCCATTTATATACACACACTTTCCCCCGACTAGTTCCATAGCCCAAGAGGAGGAACGCAGAGCCCATCCCCTAGGGAAGATGAGCACCGTGCTGTAAGAACCGAAGGTGTGTGCACATCTGCCTCACCCTGAGAGCAGAGGGCCACCTCAGTAGAGTCTAAAAAGACCCATGGGCTGGCCTTCCCTCAGGCAGAGTGAAGGAAACACTAAGCAGAAAACACAAAATTGACTGAGCCCAGCCAGAAGCTGAATTGAGAACAGGTTTCCGGCTGCTTCCCAGATGCTGCGAGGGACAGACTCCCCATCTCCCCGAGAAAACAGTCAAAATAATAAGCGTGCGTTTGCTAGACGCTGCTACTGCCTCCTCCTCAAGCCACGCCTTCTGCGGCATGCCTACACCTCACCTCACCGGGGATGTAGGGAGCAAGGACAGCTGTCTGGGAGCAGCGGGGCTCGTACACTCCAAGAACCTTGAACCACCCAGGTTCCCACAGTAAGGGCTCGAGATATCCAATGTCTCTCCCACACCAAGGGCACTTTTGTGGGGTAAGCAGCTCTGAGCCAGCTCTCTGCCAACCCCTGGGGCTGCCTCCCTGCCAAGGGCTGTGAGCACCAGAGAGCTCACCCCCTTCTTACCCTTCCCAGACCTAAGTTCTCCATTCTCTGACCTGTCCTCTGGGTGAGCCTATGTGGTTGGGACATAACACCCAACGCCTCTTAGTATTGAGGATATGATTTCATCCTCCAGTTCCAGAGAGACTTCTCTGATTGCAGCCTGGAAGGCAGGTCGCAGCTAGCAACACTCAGGGAGGGATCTCTGCCTTCAATAGCAAAGTATGCCCCAAAAACTTTTCCGCCATCTCTGCCTCACCCAAGGACTCCACTGTCTCAGAGGAAACTGGATCTTCGCTTTGTTCCTTGTGACCCCACTGGCCTTCTCTGCAGAGGCTTGCTGTTTCCCTGAGGGAAGGGTTTGTTTAGGACTCTTTGAATATGACAGAAAATAACAGACAGTAGGTGACTCAGGTGGGAAGGAAGACGTGAGAAAAGCCAATGGAGAATAGAGAAGCCTCTTGGCTGTGCTCAGGCTCTCTCCCAAGACAACCTCGATCCCGGTGATTACGCACAAAGCCAAAGAAACAGCCCTTCCCTATTTGCTCAGAGGCCCTCACTGAGTCCAGGCCTTCCTTCATCTCGGACCCTCCTCCGGCCAGGCCTTTGTTTATCTGTTCTGTCCCAGATGGTGGTGGGAATGTGACTCCTTTCTGTGCTGAACTGTTCCCATCAGGAGAGCGGCCGGCTAGCAGACCAGAAGCTACTACAGAAAGGATGTCTATTGCTAGAGTTCGTTCTTCATTCCCAGCTCTCCCTCTAGCCCCTGAGAGGCCCGGGCACAAGGCCAAGGCCAGGGAGGAAGGGGAAGGGAGGAGAGAGGAAGGGGCAGAAAGGAAATGCTTTCTGAAGTCCTAGAGATGAATGCCGGGACACAAGACCCTGAAGCAGGAGATTGACAGCGCGCTGGGAAGATGAGGGGAAAGTCAAGGGAAGTCCTAGGGTTCCCTGATCCAAGAGTCCTCTGAAGGTGCCACATGCCAGCGTAATACCTTCTCCAGCTTCCCAAGGAGAGGAGAGGATAAGCAGGGGAGGAATGAACAAAATGGGGGCAGTGGTCCGGCCTAGATCTGGGGGACAGTCCCTGAGGGGTGTAGTACCTGGGGAGAGGTCTCCCCACATCTATGTGCTGCCAAAGAAGTGAGGACTATACGGAACTGGTGATCCAGGACCAGAACTGAGGGAAGGCTGGCCTGTGTCACCCAGAAGAGTCACCCACTGCCTGGCCCCTCAAATGTCTAACTCTGGCCCAGCTGGCCCAAGAGGATGCAGGGAGGCGACTGAGACCTTGGGGCCCCAGCAGAGACTCCATCTTGTGCTTGGAGGTAGTGTCTCAAACATCAAACTCTCCAAGGCGTTTGTAAGAACAGCTACTTCCCTCTCCCAAGGCCACATTAGCCTCATGGGAGATGTAGCCCGGAGACGTAGCCCAGAGACGAGCCTGGGAGCCTCATTCCTTGCCCCGTCTGGTGAAGAAGGCAAGTGGTGGGTCCTGGAAATCCCTTTGTGTAGCGGAGGCCTCGCTCTAGGAGCACAGAAGACTGGAAGCTAATAGGGGTGGCCATAAGAAGGCTCAAGAGGCGGATGCCCTCAGTCAGACTCCCGTTGGATGAAGACAGAAGGCACAGGCACTGAGCTCCACAACAGTGAGCAGCCTCAGGCCTGGAGCCACTGGGAGCTGACAAGGAGGCCCTGGTTCTGCTCACACCGCTGTTTCCCGCTCTCTGTGAACGTCTTCCTTCTTCCTCTTCATCTTGCAGAAGCCGTGAAGACCACAGAAACAGGCGAAAGTGAACTGGGGCATGCCCTGGGCCAGGCGGGGAATGCTCACCAGATATCTGTAGGGAAAGGCAGGGTAGGGGAGTAGGAGAGAAGCAAGAAGAGAAGCAAGCTGGGGTTATTGTTCCCAGAACCCTTGGGGCTCCCTGAGGCTGCTGCCTGTCATATCATCAAGTAAAGGAGTTCCGCCACCAAACCACAGCTTCTCGTTTCCTGCTACACGTGGAACTGGCATCACCTTAAGAGGAAGGCCAGCCGGGCAGTGATGGCGCACGCCTTTAATCCCAGCACTCAGGAGGCAGAACTCTGTGAGTTCAAGGCCAGCCTGGTCTACAAAGTGAGATCCAGGACAGGCACCAAAACTACACAGAGAAACCCAGAAACCTTGAAAAAACCCAAACCCAAAAAAAAAAAACAAAAAAAAACCAGGAAGCCCAGCTGCTACCTGTGTTGTCCCTGGCCTTCTGCCTCACCTCATCCCCAGACAGCTGCAGCTGGGGAACAGGAAGCAAGCAGGCTTAAAACAGTCTCTGGACATGCCATTTCATGCAGGTTCCAATATCACATGTGGGGTTGGGGGTGGGATGTCCACTGGACTCTTGAGATAACACATCCAACACTCCAGATGCGTTAGTTTACAGGCTGAAGAAGCCTCTACTTACATATCTAGAATGGAGTCTCAGATTCTGTCCTTCCCTAACAATCCCAAGTTGTCTGGAACTCTTAGGGACCCCTACAAGGGACACAAGGCAGCACACAATCCCTCTGATGCTGTCCTGGTCGTGTGGAAAGCAGTGAAGGCAGTGTATTTAGTTCCTGCATGGCGCAAAGGGCTGGGAGGGTGGCATACCTTTCCTTCCTCAGGTAAAAGGCCAGTCTGAGGTGAAGGTTGAGGCCAGGGTAGGCCTGAGGTGGAACACAGGAGTCTGGCCGGGGTTATGGACTCAGGCTGGGGAAGCATACTCTTTATCCACTCATTTCAATTCTCCTTGTGTTACTCATCGGCATGGTCGTCATCCCCCACCACACCCCCCTTTCACGTCTCTGCCCATCCTGTCCCTAAACAATCCTGCTGTGAGAGGGAAAGAGATGCCTTCCAGTCAGCTTGGAACAGGAAGGTAGGCATCCTACCCAGAGGTCGGGCCAGCACCACAGGCCTGCTGGGAATGGCTTCTCTCTCTAGGAAGAACACCCGGAGAAAGCTGGTGAGCAAAACCCAGTGAGGGAAGGAAGGAGGACACAGGGTTTGGAATGCAGAAGCACAAGGCACCTGCCTCCCCCTCATCTCCTGCAGAGATGGTACAGTTGGTGCCCTGCTCACTCAAGGCACACCTGTGAAGTAGCTTTCCGGTCTCTTAAGGAACCAGGCGCGACCCATGTGGTGACCGTCTGGACAGTTCCTGGGGAACTCCTTCAGGACAGACTTCCAACGTGCTTGTCCTGAACAGCTGAATGCCTGCTATGGAGCTGGTCCCGTCAGGATCCACCCCCAGTCCCGGGTAATACATCCAATCACTGTAATTGATAGGGATACTGCATTTCCAGTGACCAGCTGGATGGGCAGGAGGCCCAGCTTGAATCAGCACGGGTAGGAAGGCAGGCTGCTATTTAATAACCTGCTTTCCAGCACCACTTACACACCCACTCTGGTGGAGTATATATAGTGAGCAGAGAAGTCTCTCGGATATATATAGATAGAACCGAGACACAACTACTATATTTCTAGATCGACCGACTGCAGCAATCTCTGGATCCCCCTCATGACAAAGCAGGGGTGGGGGCCGTCCACGCAAGGTCCTATTTTTGACGCTGAGGTGGGCATTGATCTCTCTGGGCCTTGAGTCCATTTTTTTCTGAATACCGGGTGGCTAGTCAGGCCTTGACATTTACAGCCCAAACCTGAGGGAATACGTGGGCACTGGGAGTCCTACCTAGATCTGGAGGGGAGGGAGAGAGCCAGTGGGGTCCCTTGTCACCGGTAACTAATGCACACACTCCATGCTGGGGTGCAGGTGAAGGGTATTATCCAGAAAGCACTCTCAAGTCATCAGAAGAAAAAATCAGCAACGGACACACACCACAGAGGACACCACAAGGATGCCTGGGGAGGAAACCCGCTCTTGAAACGGCGTGTCGCCCCCGCCCCACGGGCCGGTCTAGCGTCTCTCAGTCCCAGGACACCAAGACCCTCTCTCTTTTCTCTTCCCCTTTAATGTCTGTTCTTGCCCAGAGTCTTTAGGGGATGATGAAAACACTAGTTTTTACACACACACACACCCCGTGGAGAAAGTCGGGGCAGGTGTAGGAGGAACAGGGTTTATGGGACACAGGAAGAGAGCCCCTTGGGAGCTGAGCTGCGATGCAGCCGCTCAGTGGGGCTCCTGGGTTCTTTGCTCCCAAAGGCAGTGAGATCAAGGCAGAGAGCCAGGCTACTCTGCCCAAATATTGACCCTCAAGTCCTCCGGCTTCTCCTTCTCATCCTTGCTAGGAGTCTCATACAGGGGTATAACCCCGGCAGCCCGGGCACAAAGGCCACTGGACTTAGTCCCCGAAGTGGGTAACGCATGGGGCAGAGAATTCCAGTCGGTGTGTCTGAGTGTTGTGGCTTCAGTCCTTCCCCCCGCCCCAGGCCCCACCAGCAGGGGCCCTTGAGAGCCCCACTGCCAAATCTCTGCACCAGTGTTCTGCCCTGGCAGGCATGCACGCCCTTCCCTGCCTGCATCCTCCACACTTGGCAGTTAAGCTTTACTTTCAACATGGGCTGGAGGCTTCCTGGAGAAGTCAGATCCCATGACCCCCCACCACCACCGACTGGGTCAGATAGATCCTGGAATACCCCGCTTCATCTATGCTCCAGTGGGAACCCCCCACTCCGTTCTCACCCAAGCCACTGTTCAAGAGTGGGTAAGGAATGGACAAATGTCCATCGAAAACTCCAAAATGAAGAGGGGGCTGACACTGGCCAATGCTCCTGTTGCTTCCCACCCCCCAACCCCACCTGGCTCTTTTTAGCTCAGTTTAGAATGGTCTGGGGTCTAATGACCAAGATGTTCCTCTGCCAAGCCTGCTTTGTGGGAGCCGAACAGAAGAGACGCCAAGTCACAGATCATCCATCCTTCCAAGCCAACGATAGACCCCCCTAGCCTCTCGACTCATCCCTGCCTGCCTTTGACCCTCACACCACATTCCCCGTCTGACCCCACTCTCCTCTGACCCTCCCACCTCAAGGGAACAATCTGAACATGTGCAGGAACCAAGGGGCAAGAAAACATTTCTAAAAGGAGGGAGGAAGCCGGGGCTTCAGGCTGGCAGAATTAAAATTCTTCAGTGTCTCTAGAATTTTGGCAATGTCCTCCATCAAAGTGGGCGGTAAGGGGGGTATATGATACTTGAGTGTTGGGACAAGCCAGGAATCTCCGACGATTGTCTCTTCCACCCCAACCCCTCATCTCCTGAGGCAGGAGGAGAGGCATTTCCAGCAAGACCCACCCCAGGTAACCAGCAGAAGTGACTCAGTGAGGAGGGGTGCCCTAAACCCCGGGGAAACAATGCAGAACCCTCCACCCCCTCCCCTGTGCCCTCCGCACCCGAGCCTCAGTAATTAAAATATGAATTCACCTTCCCTCCCAGAGCCTGCAAAGGGAAGCAGCTGCGGCTTAGGAGACCGGATTTGGGGATTAGCTCGGGCGGTGCAGCAGACACACCAGGAGAAAGGATTCAAAAGGAAGGGGGTGAACTGGGTTTTCTCCCACCTCCTCCCTCTCCTCTCCCCTCCCCAGCCATCTCCGAGCTTCACACCCACCCCTTCCCCCAAAGCCTGGCCTCCAGGTTGCTGGGAACTGTAGTCTGCAAGGCAGTGTTGATCAACAGGCAGACCCGGGGTGGGTGGCAGCACAAACTACAGATCCCAGGGCCTCTTCCCAAGGCTGCCATCCGCCAAGCTGGGCACAGGGCACTCGTCTGGAGAAGTCTGTGTTCTCCTTGGAAGTTAACCCCTTCTTGGACTGTTAGGGAAGGAGCTCCGTGGACCTGGAAGCCATGGCCTCTCTGCCTTCCGTGGCCTGTAGAGGCCGCAGTGCCTGGCCTGCAGGGACAGACAGCCTTCCCCCCTCTTAAGTGCCTTGCTTGTCTACCTAGAGAAAAAGAGGAAAAGCCCCCTCCTCAAGACTACAAGGACAGCAAAGGATTTAGCAGTGGTTCTGAGGGACTTAGAAGGAACAGTTGTTGGGAGCAAGAGTAAGACAAACAATACTCCTCAGTAATAATGTTTTTGCTCCCTGTGTAAGGGGCCCAGCAGCTTACCACTGACTCCCGGCACGGGGGAGCCAGGCACCTGATGCACACTATTCCCACCAGAAGGTGTAGTCCCCTAGAAAGAGGGAACCAGCAGTCGTCCGGATCTTCTTTGCATTTAGAAGTGAAGCTTAGCAATCAAACTCCATTTCCACTAGACACAGACAAATACCACCAGAGAAATGTACCTGTCTCAGTGTAGTTAAACATGGACCTGTCTCCCTAGGGAAGCCTCATGCTGGGTCGAGCTGATGACTGTCGGGAGACTTAGATTGCTCAGTTATGATATTTTGGGTTTCGGCTGTCTGCAGGCAGGGACAGGACAGACTGCAGGGCTGCTCTGTGAATCCTCAGGGAAAGAGGGCACGAGGCCAGCTTGCCTATTCAGAGGATCTCAACAATTACGGAGATACGCCATTGCAGATCTTCTCCAAGCCAGCCCCACCCATAGTGGCAAGGCACAAAGGCGGCTGCCGGCAAAAGGAGGCCCAAGGTTGTGATCCCAGGGCAGCGCCCAACCCCCAGCCCCAGGCCACAAGGGGGCCATCTCTCACCTTTTCCCCCAGCTCACCATTCCTTCCACTAACATTTATGTAGAGTCCTACTATGTGCCTTGCTTCACAAGAGGTAGACTCTTTGAAGCCTTTCACTTGCCCCCTACCTGGGTGCTGGGGTCTTCCTGGGCAAACTGGAAAAGGGGGTTCGTGAGACAGGCCCAGAGGCAGAGGGCAGCAGGGAGCTGACTGTTCCGCTCAAACTTTCCAGGTTGGAGGTTCCTAGAGCTGAACAAAACACCAGGCGTCTGGTCAGCGACTCCGGGAGGGGACTGGCTCAGGCTAGCCACCCCCGAGTCCTTCCACTAAGCTTAGCCAAGAGGGCAAGGAGCTTGACTGAGCCACAGCAGAACTCCAGCTGGTGTGGGCTTTCGATTTCCCTCTGTTGCTCTGATTTACCTCTCTGCCCACACTGAATAAAGGAAGTCAGTGATTGCTGAAGCGTGAGAGAACAGAGTAAAATTTAGGGCCATGCATCCCCTAGAGACCGCCAGGGACGAAGTGCTTGTGTGCTTGGTACCACCCAGACTCAGGACACTGGTTTGACTCCCATAAAGCTCCAGCAGGGGTTAAGATCAAGGTTCTTGGCACCCGACAATCTGGGTCCAATTCCCATCTCTGTTCCTTACTAGCCATATGCCCTGGGCCAGTTTTCCAGCTCCCTTATCCTTTAGATTTCCCGTCAATAAAATGGGCTAATAATAAACAGGGCTGTCTTGGAGACCAAACAGGTTAATATAAGTAAGTCGGCTAGAAGTGTGGTAACTAGGCACTTGGTAAATGCTAGTTGGGGAATGGGAGGCTCTAAATAAGACAAGGTTAAGTAACCAGGCTTCTGATTCTGAACACGCTTTAGCAGTCCATGTTAGACTGAAATGGGGAGCCCAGTGTAGGAGAAGGGGTGATTCCCTCGTCATTCCAGCCAGACTGCCCGCTTCATTTCCATCTCTGCAGTTCCCCAGGATGGCCCGGATGGACTCAGGCAGTTTTCAGAGCGCGACTAGAACCAGGCTGGTGGAGGAAGCAGGGAAGGTATTGCTCTCCAGAAGCCCAGCAGAGGGGCAAGGTAAGGACCAGAAGCTGGGGACTCAGGGTTCCAGCGCGGTACCCTGGGGAGCTACGGCCTTCCCAGGTTTATCCTGCAACATGCTGCTACCACCACCAGCAGCAGCAGCAGCAGCAGCAGCAGCAGCAGCAGCGTAGCTGGCCCGAATGCTCCCATTTCAGCCTCAAAAGAGCATCGGGACAGAGCAGCTCAGGACGTCAAGCTGGAGGAGAAATAAAAGACCAAGACTACGAAGCAGAGCGTGGCTGGACAGAGGAACAGGCCCGAGACTTTAAGGCTGAAGCCACCCCCCCGCATCTCCACTAACCCAGGCCTCAGTAGCTCCATAAGAGGGAACCCACTCCTCAGAAAGGCCTTCACGCAACCTGATGCTTCTTCCTCGCGCCTAACCCTTCAGAATGAAGGGACCAGACTCAGGGGAGGAAGTGACGCGGCCAAGATCACACAGCCTAGCCCCAAATCCACAAATACATTAGTGCTGCCGGCCCCTCCCTCTGGGGCCCTCTGGGGCCCTCTGGGGCCGGTCCTCAGTGAGTGTGGTGACGCAGGAGGAGCTTGCCCCTCACTGTAGCCCATGGCTTTTAGCCCTACATGAGTTCGGAACAGCAATCACGTAGGAATGAAAAGCCATAGGCCACAGCAGAGCTGAGGGGTCCAGGGGCAGCACTCTCAAAGAGCAGGGAACTGGGGAATCTCACACCTCCCTCCTCCCCACCCTGCCTCCCCGGGAGCCCAACCCCCCCCCCACACACACACACCATTGCATTCTCTCACCACCCCCCACCACCTGGCGGGCCCCAAGAATACTAAAGCTACGGCAGTAATGAGTTCCCAGTGTAGCCCTTCAAAGGCCCCACACAATGGCCGTCGTGGTGGGTATGGGGAGGTGCGGCTTCCTGGCCATAAAGGACCTCCTCAGATTCCTCTAATTAGCATCCAGCCCCTTCCCAGGTCCCTAACTACCCTCTCCCCTTGCAAATAAGGGCAGTCTTTTCAAGATGTCCAGGCCCCATAGTGGGCTCCTTTTTTTTTTTTTTTTTTTTTTTGGTCAGGCTTAATTAACCCTTTCCAGTACAGCAGTATGCTTTGTTTAGAGGAGGAGCAAGGGTTGCATTCCCCCCCAGTTTGGGGGTGGCTCATGCTTCCCAAACTGATGCGGGGACCTGCACCATTCCCTAAACCAGGGGTTCTCAACCTTCCTAATGCTGCGACCCTTTAACACAGTTCCTCATACCCCCCCCCGAGCCATAAAACTATTTTGTTGCCACTTTATAACTGCAATTCTGCTAGTTATGAGTCGTAATATAAGTATCTGATATGCAACCCCCAAAGGGGTCGAGACCCCGAGGTTGAGAACTGCTGCTCTAGACTTACAGGTGGGAAAGGGTCTGGGCTGAAATCCCCATCAGCTGAGGGCAGCCAGCTCTGAGCAATCCATCTGGGGAGTTGGAGGGAGGGGTCTCGGGACCCTGGGAAAAGTATGTCCTAAATGCAAGTTAATTTCCTCTTCTCTCTCCCACTGTGGGTCAGCTGTAGGCATCTGCCATGAAAGAGTGGGCCCCCAAAGGCACCTTCTCATCTAAAACCAGGAAGGCCTCAGGGGACTCAGACCTCCAGACTCAGTCTGAACCTCTCCCAGGGACCCCCAATGGGGGGAGGCCGGCCCAGATCAGAACCTGACTCTTTCAAGAAGTAGCTTGCACCCTACTTTAGCCCCAACCCCAACCTGTGCCGGGGGCGAGCAAGCTGGGGTAGCTCTCTGCAGGAGGCATGGTGAAGCAGTCCTCTCAACTGAACTCCCAGCATGCACCAACAATACACCACACACACACACACACACACACACACACACACACACACACACACACACGCACGCACACCAAACTCACCGTACCTTCATGAAGCGTCACCCAGCCTCACACCTGAAGTCACCAGCCCTCAGCTCGGTAGCCTCTCATCTCAGTCCTTTCCACTGATCCCCAGAATCCCAGCCCTGAGACCGACAGGAAGTTGTATGCTCCAGGCCAAATGTCCACAGTCCCCTCCAAGGAACAGTGGCCAGGGGCTGGGGAGGCAGGTTCACCGGGTGGGCCCCCACAGTCCCCTTTATAATTCCAGAAGAGCCACTTCCGGCCTCCCAGGCAGCTACTCACTCCTCGGCTCACTCCAAGCTCCGGGCCTGGCCCAGGCCTCCTCCCTCCTCCACCCACTCTTGGCCAGGCCTAGCTGTGCCCAACTTGCCTTGACTCTCTGGTGACCCGCCTCTCCCCCAGCAGACTGGTGGGGGCGGGCGGGCAGTGGGCGGGCAGTCAGGTATTTCTTCAATTCCGACTTGGACCTGGGTTAACAAAGGTCTCATTGAGCCTCTGGCTGTCTGGTCGGCGAAGCACAAACCTCTTGTATCTCCTTGCTTTTGATCTCACTCCTCTGAACCAGCCGAGTATTACTCACATCCCCTGCCGGGCTATTGGTGTGGAGGGGCTGTTTGGTCCCCCCCCCTCCTCTGCCATCTCCTTTTTCTCCTTCCGTCCCCTGCCACTCCTCTCCAGCTTTCTTTCTTTCTTTTTTTTTAATGGTTTAATTTTTGGCAGGAGACCTGAGGCAGCTCCCTGCAGCCCCCGACCCCGCCCCACCCCCTGCCTCTTTTCACTCCTCACCATACACCCGGTTCCCACTTATTCCCCT